AGGTTGGAGAAATACGATGGAAGATGCACATATTCATGTATGTGATCTTTAAGCAGATATTTCAATTTTTGGTGTATTTGATGGTCATGGAGGAAAGGAAGTGGCTTTATTTGTAGAGAAACACTTCCTTGAAGAACTTTAAAAGAATAAAAATTTTAAAGATCAAAAGTTTGAAGAAGCCTTGAAAGAGACTTTTTTAAAGATGGATGAACTGTTAATTACACCAGAAGGTCAAAAAGAAATCAATTAAATCAAAGGTGGAGATGATGATGGTATTAATTTATTATTAATAATTTAAATAGTTTCTTATGCAGGATGTACAGCCAATGTTGCATTATTCCATAAAAATACACTATATGTTGCTAATGCTGGAGATTCCAGATCTGTTCTATGTCGAAATAATACTAATCATGATATGAGTGTTGATCATAAACCAGACAATTATGAAGAAAAATAAAGAATTGAAAGAGCTGGAGGATTTGTATCTGATGGAAGAGTCAATGGTATTTCTTATTTTTATATTATTAGGTAATCTTAATTTATCTCGTGCTTTGGGAGATCTTGAATATAAAAGAGATAATAAACTAAGAACAAATGAATAATTAATCATTGCTGTCCCTGATATCAAAAAAGTAGAACTAACACCTAATGATAAGTATTAAAATAAATTTATATTTAGATTCCTTTTAATGGGATGTGATGGTGTTTTTGAAACTCTTGATCATTCAGATCTACTCAAGTTTATCAATTCAAAACTTGGAAACCAACCAGTTACTCCATAATTATTAGCAAAAGTAGCTGAAGATTTGTTAGACCATTTGATTGCTCCAGATACCTCCGGTATTTATTAATTATTTATATTAGCTGGAACTGGATGTGACAATATGACAACCTTAATTATTTATCTTAAAGGTAAATGAACAATAAAATAATACATAAAAAACAAATATATAACATAATTTAAATATATAAACTTGTATTTATCTTTTTAGTTATTTTTGCAGATTCAGCGTATAACTGCTATTAGAATTAAATAAATTATAAAAAATTACTTTTTAGTTTTTCTTAAATTAAGGGGAGTTATATGAAGAAATTTTTATATACAAATGTTTTGATATTTCTCATTTATACCATCTTTCACAAGAAATTTTATCTTCCTCTCAACAAAGACACAATCTTGTATTATTTTTTCTTTATTAATTCAAATACTGAGACATAAGTAAGACTTGAATGTTATAGTATTTATTTAAACATTTAGGTTGTCTTAATCATAACATCACATAGAATATGCCCTATTCTATAAATCAGATTTATTGATAACAATTTGTAGTTTTACATGAAAAAAAATAAATTGGAATAAAATGATTAGTTCCAATATTCATATGATTCTTAAACAAAGTTGGAAGAATTCAATATTTAAAATGAATTAATATATATTAGATATATATATCATATTGTTCATTTACCTTTAAGATAAATAATTAAGGTTGTCATATTGTCACATCCAGTTCCAGCTAATATAAATAATTAATAAATACCGGAGGTATCTGGAGCAATCAAATGGTCTAACAAATCTTCAGCTACTTTTGCTAATAATTATGGAGTAACTGGTTGGTTTCCAAGTTTTGAATTGATAAACTTGAGTAGATCTGAATGATCAAGAGTTTCAAAAACACCATCACATCCCATTAAAAGGAATCTAAATATAAATTTATTTTAATACTTATCATTAGGTGTTAGTTCTACTTTTTTGATATCAGGGACAGCAATGATTAATTATTCATTTGTTCTTAGTTTATTATCTCTTTTATATTCAAGATCTCCCAAAGCACGAGATAAATTAAGATTACCTAATAATATAAAAATAAGAAATACCATTGACTCTTCCATCAGATACAAATCCTCCAGCTCTTTCAATTCTTTATTTTTCTTCATAATTGTCTGGTTTATGATCAACACTCATATCATGATTAGTATTATTTCGACATAGAACAGATCTGGAATCTCCAGCATTAGCAACATATAGTGTATTTTTATGGAATAATGCAACATTGGCTGTACATCCTGCATAAGAAACTATTTAAATTATTAATAATAAATTAATACCATCATCATCTCCACCTTTGATTTAATTGATTTCTTTTTGACCTTCTGGTGTAATTAACAGTTCATCCATCTTTAAAAAAGTCTCTTTCAAGGCTTCTTCAAACTTTTGATCTTTAAAATTTTTATTCTTTTAAAGTTCTTCAAGGAAGTGTTTCTCTACAAATAAAGCCACTTCCTTTCCTCCATGACCATCAAATACACCAAAAATTGAAATATCTGCTTAAAGATCACATACATGAATATGTGCATCTTCCATCGTATTTCTCCAACCTGTATCATGATATATTTTATTTTTACCTTGCATTTCTGAAGCAGCATAGATTAAGGATCTGCTTTCATCTATGTTCGTATTTTTACTTTTGTTAGGGGAGGCTAAGTATATATTGCCCATTTTAAAATATTTAAATTAGGATTTGGAAAATCTTAGGTGGGCTTATAATAATCACGAATTCTATAATTATAATAAAAGACTTGATTTTTATAGCATCCCGGTGTTAACTAGCTGTTAAAATTTAATTTTAAATTCAATTTTTATATTTAAATTGAATACCGAATTAACAATTTTAAATCTTAATTAATATTATTACCTACATTTAATGGTTAAAAATCAAATTAAAGTTAGCTGTTGGAAAAAACTTAAATGTTTATAAAATATTCTTATATATTTAATTGAGATACAAATAAAATATATTTAATATTAGAAAATAGAAAAAATTCAAAAAAATGATTAATTGATTTCTTCTTCATAGCTCGTAAAAATCATTTAGATTAATTATCATATAAAAATCCTATAAGTAAAAATAAAATTTTTAATTTGATCAAAAAAATTTTAAATATCAAATTTATTATTCTTTAGAATATTTTTCCATCTAAATTTCTATGTTCTTTATTCTATAATATTAAATTTAGTATTCAAAGTAAATTAACTTATAGACTAAAGAGGAAAATTTCTTTTCTTCTACAATTTATTATATTAATTTATTTAAATTCTATTAGTATAAAAAAGAGAAAATAATCTATATCTATTCATCATTAAATATTTATTAAAAATCACTAAAGGATCTTAATTCAAGTTGGTTTTACAAAATAATTCAATATTCTCTTCTTCATATTTTGAAATAGAACACCATTAGTAAAAAAATATTATTAATAATTTTTTTTTTTAATAACATATTGTTCATTTAAAATAAATAATCAAAACTGTCATATTGTCACATCCAGTTCCAGCTAAATTAATAATTAATAAATACCAGAGGTATCTGGAGCAATTAAATGATCTAATAAATCTTCAGCTACTTTTCCTAATAATTAAGGAGTAACTGGCTGATTTCCAAGTTTTGAATTGATTAACTTGATTAAATTAGCGTGATCAAGAGTCTCAAAAATACCATTACATCCCATTAAAAGAAATCTAATAATAATGTATTAAATACTTATCATTTGGTGTTAATTCTACTTTTTTGATATCTGGGACAGCTATGATCATTTATTCATTTGATCTTAATTTATTAACTTTTTTATATTCAATATCCCCTATTCCTCTGGATATATTAATATTACCTAATTTTTTTCAAAGCAATACCATTGATTCTTCCATCAGATACAAATCCTCCAGCTCTTTCAATTCTTTATTTTTCTTCATAATTATCTGGTAGATGATCAACACTCATGTCATAATTAGTATTATTTCTACATAAAACAGACCTGGAATCACCAGCATTAGCAACATATAGTATATTTTTATGGAATAAAGCCACATTGGCTGTACTTCCAGCAAAAGTGACTTTTTAAATAATTTGAATGTTAAATACTATCATCATTTTCTAGTTTCATTTCTTGGATTTCCTTTTGACCTTATGGAGAAAATATTAATTCGTCCATTTTTAAAAAATTCTCTTTTAATGCTTCTTCATAGTTTTGATCCCTAAAATTCTTATTTTTCTAAAGTTCTTCAATAAAATGTTTTTGTATGAAACGAGCCACAACACTGCTTCCATGACCATCAAATACACCAAAGATAGAAACATAAGGAGCACAGTCACATACATGTATATGAACATCTTCCATGAATGCTCTCCAGCCTATATCATTAGACTAAATATTTTACCTTGCATTTCTGATGTAGCGTACATTAAAGTTTTCCCTTCTTTTATACTTGTATTCTTACTTAGAATAGGTTAATCAAGAATAATATTGCCCATTAAAAAAGTATTATTAAGATTTATAAGATTTTAGCTGCTCTAATAATAATTATGAACTCTATAATTGTAATAATATACTTGATTATTATAAATTATATTTACTGAAATTCCTCTAAACTTACAATTTTAGATTGAAAGTAATGAATTTGACTTGTAGATTGATTTTTTAAAGTATTTAAACTAATAAAGTGTCTTGGAATTAATTACAATTTTCTATAAAATTAGAGGCTTAATGATTGTTAAATTCAGATATAATAGTTTTTTTGTTTATTAAGGATATAAACCTGTGGCAAAAAATTTTTATTTTAAAATTAAATATTAAGTAAAGCGAGCAAAGATGAATATATCTTGAAATTAAATATAGATTTTTAAAAATTTTTATTGCTTTTGTAGTTGAGCATAGTAGTTTTCGTTATCATGAAAATTACAGAAAAATAAAAAAAAGGGAATTTTATTATAATCAGAAAGGTTGAGAGCTATGAAAGAATCTTCTAAATTGTAATAGTTTCTTTTTAAGAGTCAATTTTGTTTTAACTTTGCTATTCTTATAATAATGAAACTCTAATTATCAAGTCTTGGTGATTCGAGTTATATTTTAGTGAGAATAATACAAAGAAATTATGATATGATTAATGATAATAAACAAGAAAATTATAAAAAAAAAAGAATTGAAAATCCACTAAACTAAATCCCTTATTATAAGCGTAGTGATATGGATCGATGAGACGATCCAAATACCAGAATAATCTAGGCAAATTGAATGAAACTTAAAAATATTATCGGCAGAATTTTACTTTAAGTTTTATAAAAAAGAAAGAAAACTGATTGATTATTATTGATGAATATATATGATAATTAAATGTTAGAATTTTTTTCTATTTATAAAATTGTTTTAAAGCAACAAAAGGGCTTGACAAATAATAAGTTAAGATTACAAATTTAAAAACTTGGGTTTAAAAATTGGTCTCCAAAGTCTTAATGAACTATTTGGCTAAGAATTAAAAGTTTAAAAAGAATTTATCATGAAGGTTTCGCTGTTTAAAAGCAGTTACAAATTAGTTTATGGAAGCTTTTTATATTTAAAGATTGAAAATATATGGAATTGTTGATGAAATAGTTTTATATATTAGATGAACAAAATTTAAGTTGTCATTCTTATTTTAATTCAATTTATTAGGTCTAGACATAATTTTAGGTTTAGGTTAAAGGATTCGAGATTTTGTTGGCATCAAAGCAAATAAGTTAATAAAAGGATTGTTATTATCCTATGTTTGGATCAAATTTTTATCGTTCCTTGTTGTATTTCTTCAATTTATCAAAGTCAATTGGAATACATTGTAAGGCTCCACTTCTTTTTAGCTTTGATTTAGTATGGCAAATTCCCATTTAGATTATTTTTATATATAATTAATTGTTTATTAAATTGATGTTAGATTTTTCATTTTATATTGGCATAATTTAATATCATTTATAATTGAAAATTTGGGTAAAAAAATAAAATTTAGAATAGTTAATTTTTATTAATATACAGATCATCTAGACAATATTCCTAATAAATCTGTGTCTCTAAATATGAGAAGCTCTTAACCACTAACATTAACTTTAAATCCACCAAAATCAGGTAATAAAACTGTATCTCCGACTTTGACACAAATTTTAACAAAATCTCCTTTGTGGTCATAATAGCCTTCGCCAACCTAACATATATATTAATTGAGATATAATTACTTCAATGACTACTCCAGCAGGATTCTTTGTGTTGCCAGTATTTAAAAGGATGCCACTTTGGGTTTTATTCGGAACTTCTAACTTCTTAACAAGAACTCTATTCATGAGTGGGACTAATCTTTTGAATTGCTACATCAAATTAATTTAATTAAATAAAAAATATTATGGATCCTAACTAATTTGTATGTTATTTTTTCACTATATGATAGGGTATTGAAATGGCTAAGAAATTCCAGCAGTTTTTTGCTCATATGAATAAGTTTTGTTAAGATTTTTTGAAAGATTAGAATGTGACAGAGATTCAAACAGTAACAGAGAAGAAGAAGGAACGAGACCCTAATGCACCTAAAAAACCTTTGACAGCTTTCTTTTTATTTAATTAGAAATACAGAGAGAAAGTGATTGAACGCAATCCAGGTATAATTGGTTAAAAAAATATATTTATAGAGATTAAGCTTACACAAATATCTTAAATGGCGGGAAGTAAATGGTAATCGATGACAGAATAAGAAAAGAAAGTAATAATTTAACTATGATTTTATTATAGCCCTATCTTGACCAATACAATGCAGCAAAGGAAAAATATGAATTAGAGTTGAAAGATTATAATGATAGAAACGGAATTGAAACAAATGATAAGAAGCGAAAGAAATCAGAGAAAGTATAATAATTCTAAATATATATAGCTTGATGATAAATCTATGAAATCAGCATAAGATAACCATATTGATGATTTTGATTCAGAATCTGTTCAACCAGCTGCAAAACATTAATAATAAATAAAACAATAACAGCAAAAATAAAGCAATAATGAAGATTAGGTGAAATAGTAGTAAGGAAAATAGACAAAGTAATAACCATAACAAAAATAAATACCAGTTTAGACTAAAAAGGCTAGACATGTAGAAATAGATGATGATATTTAAAAAGATATCGATTAAGCTATGAGTAATCCAAAATAGACACAAAAAAAATCAAAGAAATGAAAAGAATAAAAAACAACCATAAAAAATAAAAATTATTTATATTATTTGTTATGTATTTAAATTGTTCATTTGAGTCAGAGGTTGGCTATGTATCCATCTCCATTAATCAACTCGTTGAACATATGACTTCCTTAAGTGAATCTTGCTACTTGTTTTTTGTGTAATTCACATGGACCATCCATTAATCTAAGTCCTCTGCAAGCTTAAAAAGCAAGTTACAAAATATAATCTGTAGTGATACCTTGAGCACCAAATAATTAAATGCATTCATCAATAATACATTAACATTTATATGGTACAAATGCTTTAGTTTCACTAACAGCTTTAAGTGATTGCATGTGTCTTCCACCTAAAGAATCTAATATCATAGCAGCATTTAAAATCATAGTTTTACAGATTTAATAATCGCATTCCATTCTTCCAATTTTTTCTTAGAATGCTGAATCTTCATTTTATTTTTAACCTTAATGAATTCTTCTTGATCCTCTCTCTAATAAAAGATCCATACATCTACGAGCTAATCCTAATAATCTAACACTATGATGCAATCTTCCTCCTAAGAGTCTTCCTTAAGACATAGCAAAAGCAGTTCCTTCTTTACCTAACATATTTTCCTTAGGAACATAAACATTATCAAATTCTACTTCAATAATTCCATGAGGTGCTTCATCATAACCAATAACAGCAAGTGGATTTTTAAATTTTATATTTGGATGAGGAGTATCAACTAAGAACATTGTTTATTCTGTAAATGGAGATTTTGGATTAACAGTTGTTTTACCCATCACAATACCAAATCTACATCTTTCATCTTAAATTCCTGAAACCATCCATTTACTTCCTTTAATAACGTATCCATCTCCTTATTTTGTTATAATAGTCTCAAAATTTGTTGGATCAGATGAAGATACATTTCTTTCAGACATAGCAAAAAATGTTTTACATTCTCCTTCTAGAAGAGGTTTAAGATATTTTTCTTTTTAAAAATCAGTAGCTGCCATTATCAATAGTTTAATATTTCCAGTTTCTGGAGCATAACAATTAAATATTTCATGACCAAAGAATGAAATACCCATCAATTCAGATAAGAAGGTATATTCTAAATTATTCAATCCTTTTCCATAAACTGGATCTCCAATAAATAGATTCCATAATCCCAAAGATTTAGCTCTTCTTTATAAATGTTCAATTCCTGGTAATCCCTTCCAATGATTATCTTTATTGAAAGAATAGATAATATCGAACTATGATTATTCAATTGGAAAAACTTCATCTCTCATAAAATCTCTTATTCTATAATAATAACTCTTGCATCTTTGACTGACTGGATATTGAGCCCATAATAATTAATCACTTTCAACTCTTGATTTTACTAAGAAAGGATCATCATTTGTCAATTCCAAAACCATATTCCATGCAGATTTTGATAAAATTTCCAATTCTTATTAAAATATATTACTTCTTTCAGGATTGACTTTAGTCTTTATACATTATTATTTGAATATAGCTCTTTATAATAACACTATAATAATGTTATAATTGAGATATTTTATAGAATCTAATTGTCTCTCTATGCAATATTGATTAATCAATTCTGCTTTATTTTATAAACCCAAGAGATAATGGATTTTCTGTAAACCATAATCAGTAACTTATTTTACATATGGGACATCATAATTAGATAAGAATCTGGCAAATTCAATATAAGAATTTCCAATTTATACAGAATTCCAATTTTATATACTAATCAATTTTATTTCTGTTAGTTCAAAAATAAAATTATTTAACTCCACATTTCCTAAACAAAGAGATTCTTATATTGTTTATTCTGGCACATTCATTTGTAACCAATAAAGAAGGTCTTCAATATTAGTTTGAATTCTTGTTTCATGTGTTTTATATTGAATTCTTAAACTTTCAATTACTGCCTTATAATTAAATGTGCTTTGACTTTGACCAATGCTATGAATACGACATAGAAAACTGACAATCTCCTTAAAAACAAGTTTCCTATCACTTATAGATAAGTTTTGAATAGCCAACTCATTTAATACTTTTCCTTTTATTTATCCTTTAACATAAAATTCAGAACCTAGTAATTTTGCATCTTCACAAATATGAATCACTTCTTATTCATGTCCCAGTAACTCATTTTAAAGTCTTAAGTCCTCTTTTAAGGATGCTACCTACAAATATTAATAATTATATGTACTCCTAATTTTGCAAATATTGGTTATTATCTTATCGTTAACGTATATTAGGGACCACTACCATAACAATTTATTATTTACTTAGAAGAAATGATTAATACTTCCCCTGTAGGTAAAGTACTGACTTGTTCAGATTTCACTAATTCGTTTTGTCTGTATTTCAAGATGCTTCCTTGACTATTAAGATAAGAAATCAACTCTTATAGTTCCATTTAGAGGTTCATTTAATTAACTTTATGTTAAAAAATTTAAAAAATATTTGACAAGATTTAAATCGATTTAAAGGATGGCATCTATAATATCTTAATACGTAATCTCGACTTTTAATATTAATACTAAAGTGCTACTTTCTAATAACAATTATTAATCTTAAATAATTATGTTGTCAAATAATATAATTTTTATATAATAATAATCAATCATTTTCTAACTAATTCTATTCCATTCTTATCTAAAAGTCTCTCTAAAGAAGTTTACATTGTTTCCATTATATCTTGTGTTTCTTTGTTTAATTATATAATAATGAAGAATATTGCAAAGCAATCATTTATCATTTCTCCACTATATTCTAAAAAGTGTGCCATTCTTTCATTTTAGTCATTTGTAGGTATAACTCCACCATAAATAAGTAATTTTAGAAAAGACATAATGAATGCCAAAATGATTATACAAGATTCATAAAATCTATATTTATACATCAAGGATTGTTTATCCTATTAAAAGATAAATAAGAAATCAGTTAATGTTAATAATAACTGTACACTATATTCGATCCAATGAGATGTAACTTCAAAAAACTCAGGATCAAAAGTAAATAAAATAAGCGCTACTAAAGTTCCCCCAACATTCAATATAATTAAGTATATCTTTATAGAATCAATTGTAACAATGCCTGTCAATATTAAAACACATCCTTCACTTAAAGCAAAAAAGAAGGATCCATAAAAATCCAACATATGGAATGGCAAATAATAATTATCCTCAATTACTTCTTAAGGATGACAATTTGCAACTAACAATGCCAAATTACAAAAAAAGTTAATAACTATCACCAATATAAAGAATATGAGTATATTTTATTTGAACTTTTGGTTGTTGTAAATGTGTGAATACAATAGGTTTTTATTTTATTCATTCAAGGGTTGACTTTATGAAGTAGATTACTAAGACACTCTTTCTGTAGGCATTTAAATATCTAAAGAATCTAATTTTTGACTCATTTCAAATTCTTAAATCTTTTATTTATGAATCACCACAACTTAAGATTTTATTAATGAATCACCATAAATTAATATAAATTTTAATTTAGAAAATATTTTAATAAGAAAATCAATGTATTTTATATTAATCAAATTCTAGTAATCGTCTTATAAATAAAGGAATTTAAAACCTTTATTTATCGAGCATTCATTTCATCATAACTATCAGAATCGCTAAATGCAATATACATCTAAAAAAGGACCTTAATAAATTTTGTTTTATTACAAATTCTCATTCATTCAAAGATGAAAAAATCTGAAAATCAAAGAATAATATTGCTTTATAGTTGTAAATTAACTTAACCTAGCTCTTGATATTTTTCTTCTGATTTAAGGTTCTGAAAGCTCTACTAAAATAATTATTAAAATGTCATCATCTTATTTGTCAAAGTCAAATACCTTCTGAATCCTTTCAATATTTTTCTATATATAAGAAATAATCATTTTAAAAAAAATTTGATAGAATAATAAATTTTACCAAATAAAAAATAATATCAATCAACTTAATTATAAAAATAGCCATAAAAAAAATAATATCAATCAATTTAAATAATTAGAGCTACACCTCTTTTAGACCAATGTTTCTTTTCATTTTTTATTGGTATTTTAATATTGCAAATGAAATTAATTGATAAACCATTAGAAGTTAGAACTCCTTTTCTTTATGAGGTATTATATAAAGGACAAGAGTAATGATTATATTTTTTAGTTTAATTGGTAGGTATAAACTTAATAATTGGACATTTAAAAAAGAGTATATTGAATTCTGGTTCTAAAAGAGTTTATTCTTCTTAATCAAATTATGCTCCATCGATTGATAATCCTTCAATATATATACCATTAGTAGATTATTCAGCTGGATTTTATTTCATAAATTCAAAATCAAATTTTAATTGATCAATAGGTATTTTAGATTTTCTTGAATAATTCTATAAGACTCCTGTTAAAAATCCTTGAATAAAGAAAAAGCCTCCAAGCCAAAAGATAATAGGTTCACCAATTTTAATCCAATTATCTAAAAATTATAATCTCTTAATTAAATCACTAAACCATGATCCTAAAGGTTTGGTGGTTAAATAAGAAAGTTTAATCCAATCAGAGGGTATTTTATTATCAAAGATAGAATTGTAAATATCATTAAGTTAATCAGTCATATTGATATATCCTTCTAAAGCTTGCATGAGTTATTCTAATGATTTTGATATTCGATTAATTAATCGATTATACTTATTAACTTCTTGTTATATAAGTGTATGCATAGAATTGTCTTAAAGTAATGGATACTTTTATTCAACTGTTTTAACATCAAATTCAGAAGGTAATTCATTCAAAATAGATTTTCCTTTTTTCTAAACTAATTTATCTGGATGGATGCTTTGATCTCCTAAAGTTCTTGGAAGTAATTATAAAATAGTGGAACTTAAATTTTCTGTATCTAAAATGGCTGAGTAAATTTCAGCATTAGGATGTAAACCGAATAATTGAGGAGGATCAGCAATAGGAAAAGCTGATATGTAATCTATATAACCTTTTAAAGTCATTTCTGAAGGTACTTTATAAACATCATTAAATGAGAATCCTTCTACAATATCTTTATTAATAAGATCAGAAACATAAATATTAAGTAATTTTCTATCAACAGGATCAGTTACTCTTCCTCCATAATTATTTTCAGCTATCAAATAATGAAGAGCATCCCAAGGAATATCATTATTTTAATCTAAAAAGAATTGAATTTATTCTTTTGACATTTCTAAATCATGTTAAGAGAAATTATATCCTATATTCCATCCTAATGGTCCATATTTTTTACGTTCTAACAAACATGCATGAAGAAGAGCTAAAGAAAAAAAGAGATTCTTCCATTCTTTTAATCTTTTGCAATTTTCAAATTTCTCAGGATCTTAAGAGAGATATGATCTTAACATATTATTTTTAATTCCTCTTGGTAATTCATAAGTCATCTTGAGTGCTAAAAAATTTATTATAATATTAATATACCTCTTATTATTACATTTTATGGTAATAGATTAGTTGGCAATGTAGTTAACCATAAGCGAAAGTTTTAATGAATGTTCTGTTTTAATTAATTTTCATAGAGTTTTTCTAATTCTGGCATAAATGATGCAGCCAAATGACAATTTTGTAGAAGTACCCAATTTCCATTTTATATAGCTTTTAAAATCAATTTAATTGCTAATTAACTTTATCCTTATCCCAATGAGATAACATTTAATTTATCTTAAAAGCCATATTTATAAGAAAGAGCTATAATTTCAGATCTTGGATCAGCTCCTGGTGTTGTAACACATAATAGTGGTGTATTTTAATCAGATTCAAGATAGAATTATTCAAAAGTAATTGGAATACTCTCTAAAAAGATTTATCCCATAAATTTTCTTATCATTTCATTAGTAGCTTAAATAAATTATTCTGGTTTAATTATTTTAACAATCATATTAATTTAAAATTAATCTAGATTAAGAATAGAAATCTTAAAACTATGATTACTTGAATAAAAATGATCCCAAAAAGATTTATTATTTATAAAGGAATCAGAAAGTCCATTAAAAATGAGTGGATATTGTTATTATAAATCAACTAAGGCTAACCACATTTTATAAGTTAACCATGAATAATCTTATGGCATAGATATTTCTGTAGATGTTAATGAACAACCCATAACAGATGTTCTAACTAAATTAATTGGAACATTCATTAGTCGTTAACATAATAGGAATCTAAAAATTAGTTTATCTTTTTCTAATAATGATCTATTAATAGCATTATAAAGCATAATAATGAATTTATCAATAATGTATTGATTTCTTTTAAGTTTACCCTGCTAGGCTTCTTTGATAGCTTTGGAATAAAGAGCAACATAGAAATCCAATGACCATAAATAAGTAGGTTCTACTGTTGCTAAGTAATAAACTACAAAATATAGATTAGCAACAGTTTCAGCTACTTATTAATATGATTATCTAGTGACATTAAAAGCTTGACTATCTGTTTCTAATTTACGAATTCTTTCTTCAATATTATTTCCTTCATCTTTTGTATTTTATAAAGCAATAATAATAGTTTCATTTTATAATAAGTCTCCTCCTGCTTATGATAATAATTCTAACATTTAATCTTCTGTTTTGATTAGTTTATCTTGATTTGATATAAAATAAAATATATTCTTAATTCTCAATTCTTCTTTAACTGGTTCATCTATTTTAACAACAACATTTAACATTTAATCAGTTAATCCTTGTAGTGTAGCTTAAAAATTAAGCAGAGTTACCATTACACAAATTTAAGGTTAATAATGTGGATTGTCTAATTTACTTGTTAAATAGAATCTGAAGTCATTAGATTATTCAATAATTTTATCAAAGAATTTAATTTGAGCGGTTGATCCAAAGTCTTTCTATGATAAAATTTAAATATATAATGGATCAATATCTTCTGTAACATTCTCAACTAAAACAGCATAACCAATTTATATAGCATGTTCTAATTACAATTAAACTTATTAGATAGGAGATCTTGCATTAAAAATCAATAAACTTTTAGTATCTTCCATATTTCTTATCCATTGATTAGCTTATAATTAAGGATCAATTATTAAAGGCCATTTAGATGATTATTTCATAATGATTGCATTATCTATAGAAAATTAATCATTAGGCAATTTTTATTGAATCCATTTATTTATTTATAAAGGATCACTCAATTATTTTTATAATGAAAATGGAGAAGAAGATTAGATACCTTCCTATAATAATTTCATCTACCATAATTATATAGCATTTTCTCTATATTAAATAGGAAATACACCCATATAAGATATTAATGCTGAACATAAAATACTATCTCCTTCAAGAGTATTTTATTCTGCTTTGATTTTTTATGTTTTCTTTTTCCATCTAACCTTTTCATCAGAAAGATTATTAGTTAATTTTTCTGCTCTCTACAATTGTATTGTTATACTTTCAACTTTTTATTCAATTTATTCTTTTTCTATTCTTGCCTTCTAATATTCATTTGATAATCTCTTTAATTCGACCATAACTTCATCTAAAGCTGATCTTTTAATACCCAATTTCTCTTCTGCATCTTTTAATCTTATTTCAGCTTCTGCTAATTGTTATTTCTTTGGTTCAATTATTTCAACTGCTTAATAACTATTTAATACAGCTCTTATCCAATCTGACAGATTACCTGCTGCTGTTGATGCATTAAAAACTTTCTCTCTTTCAAAAAGAGGATTTTATTAAAATACTTCTAACTTTTCTATATTCACTATATTAATTGCTCTAATCTCTTCTAATTTCATCTTTTTTATTCTTTTTATTAATTTATCATTTAGTAAATTCTTTTTTGCAAAATCCCAAAAATCTTAAATTGTAGGAGGATCTTTATTTTTTGATTGAACTTAATCATCAATCTCAAAAGCATAACAAAGTCCCTCCATTACTATTGCAGCTGAAGGAGGAGGATAAATAAATGATTTTAACAAAATCATATCTTCCCTTGATATTTTTTCTAATGCATCTGTTGCTTATTTCAGTAAAGGTATTACATTATTTAATTATGTCTAGCATATATTTCTTAAAGAATTAGCTTCTTCTCTTTGAACACTACATTCCTTTTCATCCTATTCACATATCTATCTTTTTTAATCAGCTTCTTATTATCTTTTCTTTATTTTCTTTAACAGAATCTAATTTTCATTTGTTGCTTTCTCTAATTGAGGTTACAATTCAAAAAGCATATTTCTTATCTTATCTACTTCCTATTCTGTGTGTAAAATCTTTTCTATTCCAGTTTCCATTCTATCAATTGATTTTCTCGATCGTAGAATTCTTTCTTCAAAAATCTTTTAATAGATTTTTAACATTTATAAATATTGAGTTGGAGTAACATAAAAGTATCTTCTCATCTCCTCTTTGTATTTATCTGTGAGATCC